TTAGACAAATTTAGATTTAGGCGTGAAATAGGTAAACACTGGTTTGGAAACAGAGTATGGATGAATGGAACAAGTTACCAAATATCATCATTAACTCGAATACGCTGAATTGCTTCAAACATAGGTTGGATGCTCATATGAGCAATAGGGGTTAGGTGTAAACGGGACTGCCCAGTATGGGCCAATAGGCCCGCTGCAGTTTCCTCCATTCTTATGTTCTTATGTTAAGGGCATCGCAGTGCGTGCTTACAGAAATGCTGAGCTATGGGACTCGCCCTCTTGGGTGAGTTGCCCGCTCACGTGTCCATCTCATGTCTTACTCATAGACAGTGGAAAGTTACAGGGGGTGAATCTGAATATAATATCAGATGTATTGACCCATTTATATAATACGTTCTGTTGATGAGACAGGGGCCTATTACATACATTTTTATGGTTGTCACGGGATATATTTACCTATATTTACTGTAAGTGATCGTATTTCATTCCCAGAATTGTCTTTTAATCCAAGAAAATAGGAAAATGAGGATTCAAGTTTATCATGCTCATAAATCGTGTAGCAAGAGTAAACATTTCGTGCCACTGACAACGTTTTGAGGGTGTAAGCCTACCAACCTCCCAGTCTTCCGCCAGTTGGTACACCTGACTACACTACGATGGCGTAGTAACAACAAACAACGGTCGGGTACCACCATGGCCCATCTTGAAAGATCACACAAATTTTACTCCATTGTATTACGACCGCCGGGATACTACAGCGTGGTGTACACCACGGCTAATCTTGCAATTGGCCCTAAGTCTTGGCTACACCAGGCGTGGCCAACAACTACACTCGAGAACCTTAACTTCATCTTGTCTAGTCAGTTAACCATTTGTAGTTTGGCGTAGAACCTTGACTTACATCTATTATTATTATTATTATTATTATTATTATTATTATTATTATTATTATTATTATTATTATTATTATTATTATTATTATTATCATCGTAACAAAACACCCACTGTGGGAATCTCACCAGTCAAAAATTTCACCCAGTAACTTCCCCACCAAGTGTAGACTCTTGGCCATATCCTGTTTGTCGTCTCCGGCACAAAGCGTAGCATACCAGAGCTTGTTCAACGTGAAGGCGGTGGTAATGCACTAATAAACAAGGCAATAGATGTGTGATCCAGTGAGTGTGTATGTGAACACCACACTCGACTGGCTGTCACCTAAGTCTAGGCGTTACAAGACTCACCAAACATTGTAGTGACTGATGTGTTTTTAGTCAACGAAAGAGTCTGGACATCTTCTGAAGGTTAGTCACGAGGGCAGCCTTAGGAGTAGGCCCGCCAAATATATCAATCATATGGTGGCTTAGCCGAATAACAGTAGGTGTACAGGTGGCAGTAGATGTACAGGTGGCAGTAGGTGTACAGGTGGCAGTAGATGTACAGGTGGCAGTAGGTGTACAGATGGCAGCAGGTGTACAGGTGGCAGTAGGTGTACAGGTGGCACTAGATGTACAGGTGGCAGTAGGTACAGGTGGCAGTAGTACAGGTGGCAGTAGTGTAGGTAGCAGTAGGTGTACAGGTAGCAGTAGGTGTACAGGTGGTAGTAGGTGCACAGGTAGCAGTAGATGTACAGGTGGTAGTAGGTGTACAGGTGGCAGTAGCTGTACAGGTGGCAGTAGGTGTACAGGTAGTAGTGCGTGTACAGGTAGCAGTAGATGTACATGTGGTAGTAAATGTACAGGTGGCAGTAGGTGTACAGGTAGCAGTACATGTAAAGGTAGCAGTAGGTGTACAGGTGGTAGTAGGCGTACAGGTAGCAGTAGATGTACTGTTGGCAGTAGATGTACAGGTGGCAGTAGATGTACAGGTGGCAGTATGTGTACAGGTGGCAGTAGATGTAGAGGTAGCAGTTGGTGTACAGGTGGTAGTAGGTGTACAGGTAGCCGTAGATGTACATGTGGTAGTAGATGTACTGGTGGCAGCAGGTGTACAGATGACAGTAAATGTACAGGTAGATGTACAGATAGCAGTAGGTGTACAGGTGGCAGTAGATGTACAGGTGGTTGTAGGATTACAGGTAGCAGTAGGTGTACAGGTAGCAGTATATGTACAGGTGGCGGTAGGTGTACAGGTAGCAGTAGATGTACAGGTAGCAGTAGGTGTACAGGTAGCAGGAGGTGTACAGGTGGCAGTGGGTGTACAGGTGGCAGTGGGTGTACAGGGGGCAGTAGGTGTACAGGTGGCAGAAGATGTTCAGGTGGCAGTAGGTGTACAGGTAGCAGTGGTGTACAGGTGGCAGTAGATGTACATGTGCATGTGGGTGTTTAGGTGGCATTAGATGTACAGGTGTGGTGGGGTGTGCAATTGTGAGTAGATGTGCAGATTGGCGGTAGGTGTGCAGGTGTGAAGTAGGTGTACAGGTGGCAGTGGTGTGCAGGTGGCAGTGGACGTGCAGGTGATGGATGTACAGGTGGCACTGGATGTGTACGGGTGTGATGGGTGTGCCGGTAGCAGTGGGTGAACCAGGTGTGGGTGTGCAGGTGGCAGTGGGTGTACCTGGGTGGCAGTGGGTATGCAGGTGGCAGGTGTGTGTTCGGGTGGCAGTGGGTGTGCAGGTTTCAGTGGGTATACAGGTGGCAGTGGGTGTACAGGTGGCACCTGGGTGTACAGGTGGCAGTGGGTGCTGGGTGGCAGTGGGTGTTCAGGTGGCGTGGGTGTTCAGGTGGCAGTAGGTGTACAGGTGACAGTAGGTGTACATGTGGCAGTAGGTGTTCAGGTGGCAGTAGGTGTTCAGGTGGCAGTAGGTGTACAGGTGACAGTAGGTGTACATGTGGCAGTAGGTGTACAGGTGGTGGTTGATGTACATATGGCAGTAGGTGTACAGGTGGCAGTAGGTGGGTAGGTGTTCAGGTGGCAGAGGTGTTCAGGTGGCAGTAGGTGTTCAGGTGGCAGTAGGTGTACAGGTGACAGTAGGTGTACAGGTGGCAGTAGTTGTACAGGTAGCAGTTGGTGTTTGGCAGTAGGTGTTCAGGTGGCAGTAGGTGTTCAGGTGGCAGGAGGTGTACAGGTAGCAGTAGGTGTACAGGTAGCAGTAGGTGTACAGCTTGCAGTAGGTGTACAGGTAGCAGTAGGTGTACAGGTGGCAGTAGGTGTACAGGTGGCAGTAGGTGTACAGCTTGCAGTAGGTGTACAGGTAGCAGTAGGTGTACAGGTGGCAGTAGGTGTACAGGTGACAGTAGGTGTATAGCTTGCAGTAGGTGTACAAGTAGCAGTAGGTGTACAGGTGGCAGTAGGTGTACAGGTGGCAGTAGGTGTACAGGTAACAGTAGGTGTACAGGTGGCAGTAGGTGTACAGGTGGCAGTAGGTGTACAGGTGGCAGTAGGTGTACAGGTGGCAATAGGTGTACAGCTGGCGGTAGGTGTACACTGTACAGGTTGGCTGGATGACAAGATACTCGGGAATGGTCACATTATCAAAACCTATTAATATTATACATAGTTTAGTAGATGGGAATGATAATAGTCCTATAGCGATAATTTAATGTCTTTTTCTTATACTTGTTGCTGGCCATGATAAGGGTCCTGCAGTTCAAAGCAGTTACTTGAAGGGCACAAGAGGACAGTTCCGAGAAGCCAAATTAGCGAGTATACAGTAAACCCGGACGGGTGTATGTTTATCTCATCAAGTGTTCCTGGGTGGCGTGACACAAGCCTCAGTGTATTTAGTCTTAACCTTTTAAAGGCTTAAACTTACACGTGAAAATTCTGGAGATAATTAATACAGTTTTACATGTTACTCGTGTATGAGGAAGAACAACATACTGTACTACTGGTTGGCCATGGCAACAGCGCACTTGCCACAGTTAGCAAGACCAGCCGGAATCACTTACCACTTAACCAAGGTTAACCAGGTTCTCGTGTCGGTACCTCGCTCAGCAGGGTGAGACAATACAAGAATGTTACCTAGCCTTGATCCTTTCTTGCCCCCTGACTTAATGATCAGCGCTGTAGCTTGTGTTAGTACATAACTAAAGACACAGCCAGACATGAGGGATAAAGAAGTTACAACATATAGTCGTGGGGAAAAGGTTGGAAGGCATGCTGGGGCTCAAGGCACAGCCAGACATGAAGGCTAGAGAAGTCACGACGTATAGTCGAGGGGGGAAAGGTTGGAAACGAAGTGTAATGAGTTAAGCAGAGGGGGACGACACCCCTTGTTTTACATATTACCACTCTGCCACCTCTCAATACTCCTTCTATAGAACCTACAAGACTTACCGTACATTTTAACAATAGTTTCAGCGTCCTGGTCATACACTACTACTGGTATACTCCACAAATTACACCCTACTAACTGGCTCAAAGCAGTTAGATACAACAGGTCATAATGTCAGGCCAATAATGCCTCTTCTTTCTCACACAAACGTATACAGAAATACGTGGTGCCTGAAGTTAGCGGCTAAATTTAGGAACAGGAAAACTTTGAAGGCGTCCTTGGGGGAGTGGGTGGGTGTGTTGGAGTATGTCCCAAGGGGATCTGGCTAGGTCCAAGGAACGTTCGGGGGAGGAGAGAAACTGTGAGGCCACGATAATAATATATTAATGTTAACAATAAAGATTTTAATAATAATAATAATAATAATAATAATAATAATAATAATAATAATAATAATAATAATAATAATAATAACAATAATCATAATAATAATAATAATAATAATAATAATAATAATAATAATAATAATAATAATAATAATAATAATAATGGCAATTCCCCTCTTGGTTCTTGCTGACAGAGTAAAGATTATCTGGTGCAGGAAATATAATGTTTTAAAGCCAGTTCCACCAAAAAAAAAAAAAATACACACCAACAATAATTTTATCTCCGTCAAAACTAAATATTCAAGAACCAAGATAAGATTAACTAGTGTCTTTCTTCAAGAATATAACACCTAAGATACATGAAAGTATTGATAAACACAGGAACACAGAACTACCATTACCGAGTTGGGTTTCGTTGCATCTACTCCACCTTATCCAAATGCACTCATATCTGTAGGTCTCGGGACCGGTGGTCGTCTGCCACCACTTGACGTTCTCAACCTCTCTGTGTACAAAGACATGAGACATACTGTACAGAACAATGGTCAGCACAACAATGTTCATGAATCGGTTTTGCTACAACACTAGAGATAGTGAGTCGTCTACGTGATCCTACTTCATGAACATATTGTATTAAATGGTGCACTTATAAGAACATGAAGACGATAATGCTTCTTAAAGATTTAAAATAACAAATAGAAAAAATGTAAGACGTATTGGTGAGCACCTACCAGAGTGAGCAGGTGTGGGCGTGTAGCAGAGAGCCAGCAGCAACACCCACGTCAGGCAGGACAGGAAGCGAGCCATCACCCTCACTGTGTCCAGGTAGATAAAGTATATGAGTCAGCTCACTGTGTCCAGGTAGATAAAATATATGAGTCAGCTCACTGTGTCCAGGTAGATAAAGTAGTCAGCTCACTGTATGCGGGTAGATAAAGTGTATGAGTCAACTCACCTCAACCCAGCACGCATCATCAGCCACTGCCAAGGTCCTCTACACCCTCGCTGTCCCATCTCCCTCCCCACCAACACACACCAACTACACTCCGCCCCAGACATAACCAACTTCTTCCTTTTTCACCGGGCGGGGCCTACCAAGGTTCTGGGTTCGAGCTGCAGCAGTTAAAGTCTTTTGTGGGAGTCTGTACTACTATCCTATAACAATCAGGGATACTGTGTTAAGCCACGGCACCTATCCCTACCCCTACTACATACCCCCATCCACCTGTTGTCCTTCCACTGAACCCCTCTCACCCGTCACGTAGGATTTGTGTATGTATGTGACATAATCACCCAGACTTAACCACTCCACCCACCTCCTAATACCAACCAAACCCTCAGCCTCTACTCTCAGCTTACAATGATCCCCCTCCCTCTTCACACACAACCCTCACCTGACAGCAGCACTCAAACTATTTACATCCATTAAAATCCTTCACTACATTTACTTTAATATCCTACACTTGTATAAACTTCTCAGGCGATATAAGATAAAGCTTATTTCACTTGTTTTTACCTGGTTATACTGAAGTTAAGACAGCCCAACTTGATCCAGTGTGTGTCTGAAACCAACCCTGCCACAGGCTTCACTGAGGAGTTTCCCGTGCTCGATATTTATATATGTCTCTAGCGTATTGCCAGATACCCAAAGAATGTTCTATACTACTGAGGGTATATACAAACACTTGTTGTCTTTAAAAGTAGGTTCTATTCTCGTACGGGAGATAATATTACAGAGGACACAGGAAGCCTGTGGGCACACCACCAGGACTCAGTCTTAACTACTTCTACATCTATCCATGTATTACTACGCGCTGGCCTATACAGATGCCAGCATTCACAAGCTGAATACATAAAGTATAAATGTGATAATTTATATACATAATATGGTGCACAATAAATAGAATATTACATAGAATTAATACATGTTCTGTAATACTTTACTATACATAATTAATAAGAGTAATATAACAATATACAGCTGAAGGCACTACTTTGTGTCCATATATATCATACAATGTCCACAAACTATTTACACAGTATGTGTATTTGTCTAACTTATTACATCATTTCCTGAATTTTCTTCCCATAATTGATTTTTTAAAGTTGTTCATAGTAACGAGATGGTTAATGTGTGTGAACGTGTAATAATAATAATAATAATAATAATAATAATAATAATAATAATAATAATAATTAACGGTTTATTAAGATAATATGGCAGCCCGAAGGCTGGAAATATACAATGAACAAAGGTAATAAGTTACTTATGGTCAAATCGGGGAGTGGGTCACTTGATTGACAAAAGCTCTCAATACAGAAACATAAGAAACATAGAGTCAACATATAGTGTGTGTGTGTCTTTGTGTGTGTGTGTGTGTGTGTGTGTGTTTATGTGTGTGTGTGTGTGGTAGAGATAAGTCTATGTGGTAAAAGTCTTTGTATTTGTTTTATCTTTATTTGTGTGTTTGTTTCGACAGACTGTCTACTCTAGTGTTAATTTTTCAAGTAAAAACATTAGATTATTTTCAGTGCCTGTGTAGTAAATATTTTCCTTAGTGTGGTCTGAGAGAGGACCAGTCGTCTGAGCATGTGTTATAGAGCGCCTTTCTACCTCGTGTTGGGGGTCGTGATGGCTGACTGTGTGTCTGGTACTACACAATAGTTACCCTCGGAGTAATAAGTGATAGTGTTTGATGTCAAAATTCTCACTAATTACTAGTCTACATATTAAGTGAGTCTCTCCATCTGATATTGCTGTAGTCACGTCCTACTACTACTACTACTTTGCTGTCACTCGGAATCGAGTATGATGCTCATCCAGCTACAGTATGATACAGTGATATGAGATATTAGGGATGTCACCTTCATTGGTGACTTTTGAGGTGACTAAAGAGGCCGATACGGACTTGGTTTGAAGTCGGGCTAGCTCGAAAGTATTGACACCTTCTCGTGTGGTGCTCCTCCAAGCGTTACGATATGAAATCGTCTCCCAAGTGAAGGGGTCGATTTGGCACTCTTTCTGGTTTGTCTTAAGACTATCCTTATACCTTTTCAGTTGCCCGCCAGCGTTACGCTTACTATTCGTAGGGTGACTGTAAAGTAGCTGCTTTGACAGTCTACTGTCGTCCATGCAGGTAACATGGCCAGACCAGCATAGACGTTCATGGTTAATGGTAGCCTCGATGCTCCTACTGTTGGTGACAGCAAGAATACTGGCATTTGTTCCCTTGTCTTCCTAGCGACTCGGAGGAGGGAACTTAGACTACGTTGGTGAAAGTTTGCAAGTGCCTTGAGGTGCCTCCTAAATTTGACCCAAGTCTCTCTGCCACATTGCAGGGTGGGGAGGACCACTGCTCGATATGCGTGTAACTTTGTAGATAATTCCAGCTTCCTACAGCTGAAGACACGGTTTCGGAGTCTGCCAAAGGATTGAGATGCACATCTGATCAGATGCTGAATCTCTTCGTCGATGTCCGAGGCGGTGGGCTGGTGGGAGCCGAGATACCGAAAGTGGGTAACATAAGAGAGGGTATTACCGTTAATATAGAAGTGTGTCTAAACCAGAGGCAGGTTGAAAGAGAACTTGAGTCTTACGTACATTTGTCTCAAGCCCGAAGTGTGCATACACATCAGCGTAGGTGTTCAGGATCTCCTGTAGGTCACGTTCAGTGTGAGCAACAAGAGTAAGGCCTTCTGCATATTGAAGTTCAGTAATTTTAGCTGCCGACACCTTTGCTCTTGTCTGAAGTAGTCTTATTTTGAAAAGACCTTTCATCCGATACACGATGTCCAGCCCGCCGGTTAAATTGGCACTGGCACCAGTAAGGAAGGTAGCCGAGAAAATGGAAAAGAGAGTTGGGGCCAGTACACACCCTCTGTTTAACCCCTGACTGGGTGCTATTGTGCAGGACACTGACGTTCATGCCATCGTGGAGTTGCCTAACAATGGTGATGAATTTTTGGGAGCAGCCAAAATGGCTGAGAGTCCACAAGAGGGCTTCCCTGTAGACCGAGTCGAAGGCCTTGGTTAGGTCGATGAAAGCCATGTACAGGTCACGACGCTGTTCTCTGCACTTTCCTTGTATCAGGTGGGCAGCAAAAATCATGTCAGTGGTGCCACGTGATGGTTTGTGGCCACAACACAACATGACACACACAATACAGCATGACACATACGGCACAACATGACACATACACAACACAACAAGACACACACGACACAACAAGACACACACGACACAACAAGACACACACAACACAACAAGACACACACAACACAACAAGACACACACGGCACAACATGACACATACACAACACAACAAGACACACACGACACAACAAGACACACACGACACAACAAGACACACACAACACAACAAGACACACACGACACAACAAGACACACACACGACACAACAAGACACACACGACACACACAAGACACACACGACACAACAGACACACACGACACAACAAGACACACACGACACAACAAGACACACACGACACAACAAGACACACACGACACAACAAGACACACACGACACAACAAGACACACACGACACAACAAGACACATACGACACAACAAGACACACACGACACAACAAGACACACACGACACAACAAGACACACACAACACAACAAGACACACACGACACAACAAGACACACACAACACAACAAGACACACACAACACAACAAGACACACACGACACAACAAGACACACACGACACAACAAGACACACACGACACAACAAGACACACACGACACAACAAGACACACACGACACAACAAGACACACACAACACAACAAGACACACACAACACAACAAGACACATGTTAGGTGTTCTGGGTAATAAGTTCTATATACAGGAGAGAACACAAACACCTGTATAGTTTTGTAGGTTCGGTTTACTGGATAAGAGTATGTACACAAAGGGGGAGGTAGCACTCCTCAGCTAGGCTCCTGGTCAACTGCTATAGACGACGTATGGCAAGTGATACATTAGCAGCTTCCATACGTCGCCAGGCACATTAATTAAGCATGTGGGATATGGTAATAACATTGCCACACGCTGCTAGCTAGGCTGAATAAATAATACAAATGGAACACATACATAATATACATACATAATATATAATCCAGCATACATAATATACATACACCTCCCTCCCCCCTATACGCTCATAGCAAAGTCTTGAGCGGACCTTTTCTTCTGGATCCGTTCTGAGCGTCGAGGGACTTCATCACTGGGAAGGGTATGGGACTCAACACTGGTGGCGGGGCCGGCAGAAGGCATTGTTACAGGGCGGAGAAAACGGCGGTTCCTCCACCACACACGACCACTGGGTAACCGCACCTGATAGTCCCGTGACCTACCGAGACCCATGACTACGCCTACTTTGTCCCAACGTAGGGAGGTCGGGTCCTGAACACGGACTTGGGTGCCGACACTCAACCTGGGGAGAGAACGGGCGTGGTCGTTGTAGCGGGCGACGACGTCCTGAACACGTTCGGCGGCTCGGCGATCACAATCCTCTGTCTTGGCCTGCCACTCCTTGGAGAAGGATTGAGGGTGAGCAGGGACACAAGAACGAAGGGGGCGTCCATACAAAACCTGGGCAGGGGAGCGTCCGGTGTAGTTAGGTGTGTTGCGGAGTTCAAGAAGACCCCGGTCGAAGGCCTCGCAGTCAATGTTCCCAGAAGGGGCCACCTTAAGGATGAGGTGCTTCAGGGATTTGACAGCAGCCTCAGCGTGGCCGTTGGACTGCGGGTAATGGGGCGATGACAACACATGCCGGACTCCCCATCGGTCAAGGAACACAGCAAAGTCCCGGCTTGTGAACTGAGGCCCTCCGTCGGTTCGCAGGCGTACAGGAACGCCCACGTCACGGAAGTAGTGGCGGAACTTGCTGATGGTGGCGGCAGACGTCGTGTCATTACCGCACTTGATGACAACAGGCCAACCAGAGAGACGGTCGACGATAACGAGGAAGGACTTTCCTGACACACAGAAAAAGTCGGCCGACACAGACTCAAAGGGGCGGGTGGGGTTGTCGTCACTCATGAAGGGTTCCTGCTGCTGGCTGGGTTGTAGTACTTGGCAGGGCTCACACGCACGGACAACATTGGAGATGTCGGAGTTGATGCCGGGCCAGAACACAGTCTGTCGTGCACGTCGTTTGGTGGCCTCAGCTCCACGGTGACTGTCGTGAAGGCGAGCCAAGGCGTGGGGACGTGATGCAGCAGGGACAACTACACGTGCTCCGTACAGAACAAGGTCTCCGTCGCAGTAAAGTTCATCGCGGAGTTTCCAATACGGGAGCAGGGTGTTGTGAAGATCGTAGCGGTTGCTAGGAAATCCATTCCTCACACACTCGACAAGTCGGACGTAGGAAGGGTCATCTCGGGCCGCTGTTCGAAGGTCCTCCATTGCCTTGTCGTCATCTGGTGACAGGTCCGAACGAAGGGATTGGACGGCATGGAGAGTGACCACAGTCCTGACGGAAAGAGCGAGGTCGGCGTCGAGCACATGGTCTTCTGGAGTAGGGCGGCTGACAGGAGAGCGGGATAAGGCATCAGGGATGCAGAGCTCCTTACCAGCACGCCACACTGCTGTGAAGATGTACGCCGAGAGCTTCTCTTTCAGACGCTGGAGGCGAGGGTTCTCAACGGCGTCTAGCGTG